AGAGAGAGAGAGAGAGAGGGGGGGGGGGGGGGAGAGGTGGGTGGGATGGGATGATGTTTATTCAGATGCAAAACAAAGATGATATTGGTCATGACTCCAAGTATTTTATGAACTATACTAATAAACAAGCATACCTCAATTGTAGGATGATTATATCCTTCCTCTCTTCTATCACCATTTTCTGTATTGTTTACAGCAGCCAGAACGTTGTCATCTGTGATCTCATACAAAGAAATCACTTCAGCAAGTGCACCCCCATCACTATAACAATCACGTGAGGCACGCTCAACCCGAACATTGGATGTAGGTCCAGCATATGCCAGTAGAAGCTAAGAAAGAAAACATTGCACGTAAACAACATTAGCACAAAACCACTGAACCTGTCATGATTATCAGTTTGTTGAACATAGAAAGCAGGATCACATCAAGAAATTACACCTTACCAAATAATGCACCAGTGCACCTAGCTAAATCAAATTCTCGGCAACTCTATATTCCATGCAAATATTTGACTATAGATTTAACGAGACAAATGTTAGTTGTCAGGAAAGAACCTAGTTGGCAGATTTGAGCTGTAATAGTAATGGAGATCAGTTATATCAAAAGGCTCTGATCTCGATGGCAATGTTTTGTTCTGCTGATATTGATAAATATCTTGCAAGTGATTGCAGTCTCTCATACTAAGCAATATAAAAAAAAAGTCACTGTTGTGCAAAACCAGGTAAGGATTTAATCCGGGTGAAAATTTTAATTTAAATAGCATTAAGCAAATGCAAATATTTTTTAATGCATGTAATCATCCAAAAGGGCGACACATAAGGTAAATCTCGACTATTCAGACGCAGATTCAATAGGAGAATCCTATAAATACAATAAAAAAAGTTATCCATACGTATCATGAAACAGAAGAACGAAAAAAAAATGAAATGGGTTAATAGAAGACGACTTCCTTGATGACAAAGGAGTTGAGTTCCAGTAATCCCATATTAGTTTCAAATTACATTGTCAATAAATACTGACCTTCTCTGTTGTTGCGGAAAGGGGTTCCCCCAAAAGAATCTCAGCAGGAGATACACTAATCAACACCGCCTCGAGCCCTGTCCTTATCGAATCATCGTTGAACTCCCCATGAACAACATCCCCCGTGGAGACCTCCACGGCGATGATCCCGATCCTCACAGCAAACCTTCCCTCGAGATGCACACTCCCCGGAACCAGTTCCTTCTCTACGACACAAGCAAGGTAATTGCTCCCCGAGATGCTGACCCCCTCATCCCTCGCACCGCCCATGTCCTCTGCGGCCTCAATGGTCGACCTCGTGTACAATGCGGACAGGCCCCGGGAAAAGGGTCCGAGACGGTTGGAACCGTGCGCCTTGATGGCGGCGGTCTCAGTCTGCTTCACGACGCCGACCTTGTAACCCGCGGCAACGAGGCGCCGAACATGGAAGTGGAGCCGGAACGTGGGGATACTGGCGGTGAGGAAGTTACGGTCGACGTGAGCGAAGATTCCGAGGACCCGGGCGGCAATTTCTGCGTCCTCGCCAAAGAAACGGTACTTGTACCCGACCTCGATCATGAGAAGAACGTCTGGGTACTTAGTTTTGAGGTCAAGAACTTGTTGTTCAAGAGGCGTGTATGCAGGGTTTTGTGGAAGGGGTTTGGCGGCGGCAGCCGAGGAGGAGGAGGAGGAGGAGGAGGAAGAGGGGGAAGAGAGGTCAAGGAGCTTGGAAAGGAAGCGGCGGTGGAGGAAAGGATTGGAGGGAGGAATGGCGGCGGGGGATTGAGGGGAGGGGGGTGTCGATTTCTTGGGTTTGGGGGGAGGCGAAGGGGTTAGGGTTTGAAGCCTACGCTTGGCGGAGGGGGAGAAGGAGACGGTGGCGGAGATTCTTGGGGAGGGTTTAGGCTGCGACGGGGGAGAAGCAGACGAAGGGATCTGAGGGGGTTTGGGGGCGAAGAAGCGGGAGATGGTCTGTTGCTTTGGCTTCCCCATGTTGAGGCGAGTGAGAGAGAGAGAGAGGTGACAACGCGGGAAGCGGCAAAGGTATATATATAGATAGAGAGAGAGAGAGAGACAGAGAGAGAGAACCAGCGATCTACACAAATAGGGCCGCTCATGTTGGAGAATAAGGTTGACGAAAAAAAAAAAACAATTTCTCGGATCATATTCAACCTCAACTAAAACTCGTTGAGATGGCAAGGAAGCCATTAAAATGGATTGAGATTTCTTAATCACCAGCAATTACAAGTACATATGAGAAGATAACAAGGAGGCTGGCCCGATTCAATTTGACCAGGTCTCCTTACATCTATAGTATCGCTAGCTTTCTCAATCCTGCGCCTATTTAGCTTAGCTTGATGACACAGTTGCTTGTAAAAAGGGACAGAGTACAAACAAAAGCATTCATTTGATGAAACAAGCCGACTTCTACTGCCACCCCAACAACTTCACAGACCTTCTTACCATGATGAACTTGAACCTTGACAACTGCAGTGGGATCATCGATAAAACAGATCCGTAGCTCTGCATCCATTGTAATATGCATTCATTGATTGAGATATTCTCAAAACCTAAATATCTTAGTCATAAGATAGATAAACGAATAAAGATATCCCTCAACAAAAAAAGCCACTGCTTGCAGGAGTCAGGCTGCTATATTGACAACAGTAATTTTATATCTCTGTTAGATACAATGTACTATATCTCTTGTTAGGGTTTATATTTTGAACTTTAAAGTAATTTTATAGACAGTAAATTAGGTATGCACTTGTCTCAGTATATGTACAGAAGCTCCTAAACGATAATAGACATACTAAATTTATCTTTATATTCCAAATTTGAATACAGCTATTATCGAATATTATGTTACCACATGAAATGATACGAAATGGGTGGTATATATTGATACGGGTGTGGATCGATATAAGAACCACTATCGTTTCGGGTAATCCATTCCAACCCAACATTAAAAAAAAAAAAAAAAAAACCTAAAATAGAAATATGAGCCGTCTTCTCATGTAGCATCACCGCTTTGCAACATCACTATCATCACATTCCTCCTCTTCTACTTTCTCCTTTGCCGCTTCTTCTTCTTCCTTCTTCACCGCTTTCTCTTCTCCCTCCTCTTTCGCCACCCACCCTTCCTCTTCTCCTTTTTCCTTCCTCTCATAAACATCAATGTTTATTTGTGTAATGACACATGATAGTACATTGATAATGACTAGTATCGATTAGATGATCAAAACGGTGATCCTTGACTATCATATTAGATGACAATTGAGCTATGACATGCCCATGATATAACATAAAATGTTAATTTAAAATCAAATGGGTTGACATTCTGATATAATTACTTTATCGTCCAATATATTGCAATATGTGCCTCGCATAAACCTGAGAAAATAAAGTATAACCAGAAAACGCTGAAATAACGGAACAGAGTGTCGATCTTTACCAACAAAATTCCTTCAACGCTTGTTCGCATGCCTTGTTTCATGTAGCTGAATCAAAAGAAAAAGGAAAGCAATAAAAAAAATATATAGTTAATAAATTATTAAGCTCCAACACCATATTAGAGCAATAAGAGAGAGAAATGACAAAGTTAGGGGCATTCACCCCATATAAGTTCCAAATGCAACTCAAATTTCCAATAATTACTTGGAAATTTATTCGTTAACAACTAAAAAAAGCAAAATTATCTTAATTCCCTCTGAAGATTAATCCTCTATGGTCATGACTTGCATGACCACCCACAATCGATGTTGAATGTCAAAGACAAATCAATTGCTTATGTACCAAAGCCCCAAACTTAGCACACAGCATTTTCCCAGCGACGGCTCAATCAAGAGTGCGTCTTCAGGAGGTTTATCTAAGAGAGAGAGAGAGAGAGAGAGAGGGTAGGTCCTAAACAATTGATAACTAGTAAGAATAGAAGAAGCATAGTGAAATTATCCAATTCACTATTTGCATTAACTACTATCCTCATATTGTCTCTACAGACTCTACAACATCTGCTATTTATCCAATAATTCTCATCTTCGGTCTTTCTTTCTTTCAACCACATAAAGAAAAATTTTGGCCTTGCATGACAGGAAAATGGAACTTGTGGAATGGCACAAGGGTGCGAGAGAAAAGATTCCGAGTGGTATCAAGTTGAGATAATTAAATCTAGGAATGGACTTTGAGCGTCATCTTCTGGAAATAAAGAATCTATGAACAACAAACAACATCGAATCGAACGACTTGGGTTTGCAATTGACCAAGTACAACTAAATCATTTCCTGGATTTCATCTTGAATCAGACAATAAGCGTGACACTCGAGAACGAAGTCATCGAACGTGTGGCAACATCGAACGGTAGGCAGAAGAACGACAAATCAGATAACGATAGTAACAAACAAGAACTAGTTCAAGAAAAGTAGGGTAACATCAACTTCTGCGAACTGAGGCCCGAACGACCAAACCAGACAAGGATAGTAACAGTCAAGAACAAAAGTGATCGAGTGTGGGGCTTTGGGCTCAAGAAAACATCTCTAAGGCTTTCAGGGTGGAGACTATAGAAGAAATCTACATCGAGGAATCGAGATGGGAGTGGACTTACTTGACCTTCATGCGGGCGAGGCGATCGAGCACGGAGGCGTCCTTCTCCATCTTTCGCTCCTTCGACTCGAAGGTGTAGTTGGAGAGGGGGTACGTGTACACCACCGATGAGGTCACCATCTCACTGCTCCTTCCTCTTGCCTCGTTTGCGCCTCTCCGAAAGGGAGGCAACGGTGGAGGAGATGGTTGGTTCTTGAACTTGGACGGGTGCAATAATGTATTAGTGTTATGCCAAATCAAACCCCCTTTTTTTTTTTTAACATATTTATTTATTGTTATGTAAATCTAATATTTATATATTATCATAATATTTCAATATTATTTATGAACGCGAGGGTAATTCTCTTCCCGCCTTTTCCATGTTTTTGTGTTTATCTTAACTGGTTGGTGTTGGTTTTAATTAATTTACTTTTAAATTATTTTTTCAAACGTAAACTTGAGAAATAGTATTCAAATTTTAATATAAAATATTTTAAATATAAATAATACAGAATATATTGACATAAATATTTTATAATATTAAAATTATCGTATCAAAAACATTTTAGTATTGACTTTTTATGGAATGACACTCCGGTATTCATTTTTTACCCTAAGGATATTTTTTTTTATAAATGATAAAAAAAATTACGAACCAAACCCAATTGAAATTGGAGATTTTTTTAATTTGTTTCGTGATTCAACGTAACTTATAATTCAAAATTCACTAAACCGACTCAAACTTTTACATAATAAATAACAAAGACATTATTCTTACCTAACTAATATTTTTCATATTTTTTAGGAATTAATTATTAAAAGTTAAATATTTATCAATTAATATTATAATCGAGTGTAATTTAATTTAATTTAATTTTACGTATAACTCGATCAACTTACTAACCCCAACCTAAATTTCATATAACCATTAAGACATGGTTTTAAGATAATTAATATTTTTATTTTGTTATTTTTTTTAAAAAAAATTATATAATTAACTATCAAAATTTAAAAAAATGAATTATTTTATGGTCGACCATAACTTAGCCATCCAATAAACTAACTCAAAATTCCACCAAACTATCTAGCCATTATTCTAAAATGACTAGTATAATTATTTTATTTTATATAATTTTATGATAATTAATTATTAAAATTAAATATTTTTTAAATAGGTTATATAATCAAGTGTAACTTTGTCAACTTTCATTATATCAACCCAAACTTTTACATAACTATTAAAACATGATTTTAAGATGATTAGTATCAATTTTTTCTATTTTTAAAAAATATATGATAATTAATTATTAAAATTTGAGGTTTTTTGAATTTATATCTTAATCAAGAGTAATTTTAGTTCACTTTCAAGTGTAATTTGGTTAAATATTAATTTTTTTTAAGGTGTTATATAGTTTAGTTAATAAAGACTTTAACGGTATATCACAACATTTGAATTTTACTTTCGTCACTTATCCTATATAACAAAAGAACAAACAAACCAAATTGGATTGGTTTATCCTATAAAAGAATCAGTTTGTATATTATAACTCATTTAGGCAAAAGTCTAATGGTATTTTCATCTAAATAGAAAAATGGAGTCTCTAAATAAAAACATGATATTTCTATTGGCATCATCTTTGTTATTTACAATCATATTTTAAAAAATAATATTT